AGATAATTCAGTTCAATCTTCTCACAGATTGGCCTTTTTTGAAAATAATTGAGGATGCTTTTGAGTGTCTATTAAAAAATCACTTCTATATGAAACTTACAGAGCATTCAATTTGCACTAAATCTGTTCATTGGTCTTGGAGTAATATTCTTAACAACAAAGATGAACTAACAGCTTCAAGAACATGTTTGACTTTGACCTTGATAAATAAGTCTTTGTTTGTTTGAGCATCAATTTCGAAAACTTATGTTTTCGACAACAAAAGATAATAAAGATTTAGAATGTGCTAGAAAGGCCAGTGTTATTCAGACTCGATCATGGTATAAATATCAGAGTCTTTCAAAGAGAAATCAGAGAATAGAGCAGAATCATTAAATATACTTCTTTTCTAGTGTATCTCCACTTTCTCCCCTAATTTTAAGCAGTAGTCAAATTTTGTCTATGTTTAATAAAATTGGGTTTCTTTCGAGACAATTCGCGATAAATTAATTCATTGAAGTAAGAAATTTGCCCGCTTCTGAAATATTTTTTACGTGTGGTCTAAAATCAGTAGATCAATTTGAAATTAATTCAAGCTGAGGTCATAAAAATTCTACTTTTGAAAGATATAAGTCACTAATTACAAATGAACAGCATATTATATATAACCTAAAAATGAATATAATTTCATTTAAGTTCATTTATAAAGATTAAAACTGTATAAAATTTAAGGAATACTCAGAAATACGGGAAAATTATAAGAGCAAGACAGACATGATGAAATTTCGTAGTTTGCTACATAGTCTGCACTATGAGTTATTAGTTACCTATTTTGATCAATTAAAATCATTGGTAAAAGAATTATGAAAACTATGACTCAGCAAAATGTGGCATAGTTATAAATTACTTAAATATTCCTAATCATTTCCTGTTTTGGTAATCAAATAAAAAAGCCTAGTGATTGTGCTTTTTTTCATTAATCGACTTGAAACAATGTGTCTTCTATTTCGTTTTTTGTGGTATAATTTCAAACAATTTCTGCTTTCTTTTTTCAAATTCCATGTTTGACAACAAAGCATAGATTTCCTCTAACAGATACTTTGTTAGAATGTGTGGCTAACAAATAAGGATGAACGGTCTCTGAAATGCATTTTTTCAAGCTTCAGAAAAGATTGACTGGCGCAAATTCATCCTGAAGAGCTTCTAAAGCGGTCACGAACTTAAATCAACTCAACTAAATTGGTAATAAATGAAGGATGCAATTTACGGTGGTTATGGTACTCTACCTTGCACATGCATGAATAATAATGTGTGCGTTCAACAGATGTACTCATCCTAGCAATAGTAACTGTTAATTAATATAGCAGTTTTAAAACACTTATGAAATGATTTAAAAGGTCGTGACAATTCCGCGGTGTCATAGTATGCCAGTTGAAGTAAACTAACTCAATTAATGTCGTATTAATGCTCTGACATTTATACACAGAAATTATTATATTTCCTGAACACAAGAAGTTTTTATCTCTAATATTCGCTGTTTTCTGTTTAAACTTTGTAATCACTAAGCGATGAAAGGAAGGAATTGAAAGTTTATAATTCTGGACATTCTTAATAAACGTTTGAAACGATAAAATCATATTCAGAAATATAATGAGCACCAGCAATATTCTTTATATATGAAATGTGCTCTTGTTCAGAAATTGTCCTACTCTCTGGATCCACTACTGTACAATGAGCATGGTAAATGAAATGCACCATTCTCAGAGATCCATAATTATGAAGTCAAGAAAAAAGGAGTACATAATGTTGGTAAGAAGTTTGCTGATCGGTGGCTATGGTTGTTGTTGGTCAAACTTGAAATGTCGTTTTTAATGGTAGTGAACATAATATTTAATTATAAATATCATCGTTCACTTCCGCTTTTCAAAATTGTACATTTAGAAGCAAGACTTACAAATGTAAAAGATAATTTGAAGATCGGAGATAGCAAATAACAGAGTGTTTCTCTTGCTATGCAAGGGTCAACACAACACCTTCGTAGATCAGCTTGATTTAAACTACCTTAAAGGCTACGAAAAGAAAAATTGAAAGCTAAGATAGATGTTTATCCATTATAAATAATATTATTCTTTTGGGTATAGAACAAATATGTCCGTTTTCTTCATATTTGTAGCGTGATTTTATCCGCTTTCTCGCTTTTCTAGTTTCGAACTTGCTTCTCAAAGTAATGGAAATCATTCTTGTCTAAATGTTCCACTCCGTACTGACTGAAGGGAGATTTCAAGATAACAATCTTTTGGGAACTTTTCTTTCCACAACATGTTAACTTTGTTATCAGTTTAGTTCATGAACTAATTCAATTATTAGATCAGACGAGCTACATTAATCTTACAGGAACATTTAGCATGAGTTTGCAAATCAAACGAGAGTGCTGTTAAAGTGTTTCGTTATCTACAGCACTTATTATATTTGATGTGCTACATTTAACTTTAGACGCTGTGCAAATCCAAAATATAAAATGCTTATGATAGTGTTATGCCTTACTAACTCAGTAGTTTCTTTAGCATTGTTAACCAAAAGACGTTTTTAAAATTTGTACAAATAAGAGTCTATTAATCTTTATTATTTCAATTTCTTTACTTCGCTCACTTTTAATATCACGTTTTTTATATCACTGTTCTCTTTGATAGCTTAAAATTAAAATTTTACGCCATATCGCTCATATAATTCACGATCACAATTCGTTGTGTTCAATCAGTTTCAAATCCATTATTCATGTAGTGAAAATAAATGACTGGTTAAATGCTAATTAATAAAAATTGCGTAAAAATTAGGCGACAATAAATGGTTTTTAGTTTAAGCGAATGATTCAATTATATAAGCCAACGACAAATTCTTCATAATTTTTAGAGTCGCGTCAACCAAATCATCCATTTCAGTAACTACTATACGTTCTTTAAAATTTCGCCCCTCATCTACGATAAACTTTTAAAACTACCTGAATCCTGAATGGCATCATTTCTCATTTTGTTTTCGAATTACATGCTTCCTATTTGAAACTGATTTTCTCTAAATATCTTGAAATTTATGACTTATTCAAAGCAAAATAAATCATTTATTCGTTCACTATTTCTGGGCGTTCACCAGTTATAGCATCGCGATTAACGAAAAAATTGAACTTTTAGCAGGACTACAGCAGGACCAGTATTTCATTTGATCAGCAAATAGGCTATTTGTAATTGATGATGGACCAATTCAAGAGTACTATATACATCAAAGTATAAACTTTCAGAATTGTCATTATAAAAAACTATAACTATTGGTATATGTGCTACGATACACAAATATGATCCAGATCACGACGGGATCTCTTTCATTGCTTGGGCTAAAGTCATGCATGTAATTATTATTATTAAATGAGAAGCTAAGCTGAATTCAAAACTATTGGTGATTACATCGTCTTCGCACAGTAATTGCAATCAAAAAAAGGGAAACAATCAAAAAAGGCAAACTTATCATGGCTCTCAATTACTGAAATGGTACAAATCAAAATTTTAAGTCAGAAGCTACTTCTTATGCCAATCTTTAAAATTGTGCATAAAAACTTATAATTCCTTTTAATCATAACATTCTAACTTTCCAATTTAATTAATCGGTATGTTAGCCAATTTGTCCATTCTATCATCCATCTTATTTCATTTCACATTAGCATTTTTAATAATTGATTATAGATTGGGAGTAGTGAAAATGTAAACAATTGTTGCTGTGCTTTTCACTGGAAATGAATTATAATTTCATAAAACTTCACGGAGAGCAAAAAAAAAACAATGAAAGTTAAAATTATTTTTCTTAATATATATGTTTTTTAACTGCTATATTGTGAGTTCTTTATGCTAAATAAACAATACTGTAGTTTCAACTTTTTTCGAGAAGACTGTAATTTAAAAAAAAAGTAATGAATCAAAATTTTTAAATATCGAAAATTTAGCTGGTGAATTGTTCAATGCTCATTTAAAAATGTAAGCACGCACTGTAAATGGTCTAATGACTTTTTAGTGTTTTATTTGTAAGAATTACCTGAAAAAAGTAAATTGATAAGAAATCAATTTATCGCAGTCACACTTTCCAAGTTGAAGATTTCTCTCTGTAACAGAGTATCCGTGAGATGTAAATCCTTTTTTGTTTCATAATTCACATATATTATTACATTCTGCTTGCTTAATATCACAACAATTCACAAAATGAATCACAAAAAATAAAATATAGGATGGAGTGACTTATTATGCTTATCACAGTGACAAGCGTGTTGGCTTATTGATTTTTATGATTTACGATAACGGATTTTTTGTACAGCAATTCATTTTTCTCTATCTACCTTTTCTTATCTATTCCACATTTTGAATCGTTTACTTAATATGAATCTTGTAATTGAGTGGAAAAAATCAGAAAATATATGATTTCTTACAGACTTAAACTAAGATTAACTTCTGTCCTAATTTTCAGCTATAATACTGTATTATTAATTATATCACTAGAATTATAATTTTCACGTCTCAACCTCCTAATCACACATTTCTTGCTAAATTAATTGTCAGTTAAGCTTTTAATTGTTTCCTGCATAGATCAGTTATTCTAGAACCAAGTTTCGCATTGTAATTTTGCAATTTTGCATACATTATGGGTAAACTAAACTGCACCATAAATGCAAGAAATTTAATATTTTTTAATATTTTTGTACTTTTTTTTTAAAGAAAAACTAATTAACTGTTGGGTGTTAAGAGCATATTAGAGAACGGTGATTTAGTTCTTTGACAAAATTTGTGCTCGATGTAAACAGCATTTATTTAAACTGTGTTTTACTTTGGACTGTAATTTGCTGGTGCGATAACCGTCAAAGAAGTGTTACTACTAATGAAAATGAGATTGCATGTTCGTAAATGCTTACAACATTAATTGCCACTTTTATCAAAAATAAAATTTTAAATGCAGGTTATTATTTATTTGCAGATATTTCACTAAAAATGTTTTCATTACTGGCTTTGGCAATGCATATCTTAACAAATATGAATGCGTTCGAAAAGGTATTTTCCTTTTATTACAACTGATCGGTTTTTAAATTATTTATTTTTTTGTTCTTTTCTTGGACTCAGCAAGTACGCTTTAAAGTGTATTACGTAAGGATTTTAAAATTTTGGAGATTTTTTTCAAAACTTTCACCTGAAAATAATTTCTACGGGTTTTCAACTAGTTTGACATGATTTTTATGTGCAAATGGATGATGTATATAAAATAGTGTAGAAAAAAATCAAATATCTACACATTATTATATGTTACATTTTTTATGCTTTAATATTAGTTGCAGTTGCTAGCTTTAGAGGAAAAACTGCAATCCGAAAAATGGATATTTCTTCCATAGATCTTGAAAATATTAAAGGACAGATTCCAACTTCATATTCTACGTTTTTCTGTACTGTGATATTAGTTCCCAAACTTTGATCCACACTTGCTTTTCTCTGTCCATTTCTATTTCCTAGTAACGGTAAAAAATTAGTTATGGTAAGAAGCTATTGAAGCCATTGCTACCTTCTCGTTGAGACAAAGGATTTGAGAATTTTTAGGAAGCTTTTTACCGAGGGTAGTCATACCTGTTATCATCAAATTTCATGTAGAAATGATCATAATTTTATGAAATGGAAATTTGGTGATAACTATTAATATCATTTCAGCAAATGTCTGAGGATATGACATACTTGCAACCAACAAATATGCGTCAGATTAGGATACCTGGTGACGTCATCATAGGTGGGATTTTTCCAGTTCACGCAAAAAGTGGATCACCGGATCAACCTTGTGGTATTATCGCCGAGACACGGTTTATCTTTCTGAATCTTTTTAAAAGTTCGCCTTTCACAATGACAGGATTAAAATGTGTTAAAATATGAGTATGATCATGCATTTGGTATGCAAATAACAGACACATAGTAATTGAAAGCGATGCAGAAATGTTTTTGATTTGAAACGAATGAAACTAAAATGTTTTAAGAGGAGTTCACAGAGTGGAAGCAATGTTGTATGCGTTGGATGTTATCAATTCTCAACGTGAATTTCTGCACGGTTATAAGCTGGTTTGTTATTTCTCTTCTTTTCTAATTCAGTCGAGCTGGATTATTTATAACTAAAAAGCCATGCACAATAGTTCGTCTGGTAAGCTAAAACACAGCGCTGAAAGCTAGCTCAAGTTAGAGTTCTTTGAAAGTAGTGAGTAAATCTTTGAAATAATACTAAAATCCTGCAAGTCGGTGTTGTAGCTATTTTGATTTATGTTACGTAAGTAAATTATCTGAATTACTATGACGAACTTATGATTGAATGCCGCTCAAAATTGAAAGAAGGAAGCTCAATGTGAGTGATTACCATACCAATCTAATTACAATCGTTAGTAGCGATTGTCCATTGAGTTAATTTACTCTCATGGTGTCAAAATACTGGCATTTCAACTTGCAAATTATGAACAAATCAGTGTACTCATAAAATTATACCTAACTTTTCGAGTTTCTGTTACTTCTGAGAGAAAGAATGTATCGGTGAGTTTCGGCTTCAAGCGATAATTTGAACTATTTAATGTGGCATGTTAGATTATCGGATCCTGAAATCACTTTATTAATTTATATGATTTGAGTTACATATAGAAACAGTGATGCTATAACGCAATTTCGTTAATTTACAAAAAAGTAAATAAGAAGTTTTGCTGTGAATTACTGATGCCATTTATTTATGTATTTGCACTAAGTTGCTTGTTTGAATATGGCTCGATCACTGTAGGAATATCTGCATAATGTCTACTTAAACTTACAATATAATATTAAGTGAAAGATTTGCTGTGATTTATGGCATCTTTTTTTGCACCAGATATCACTAATGGTGTGTAATAACGAACTTTAAAAGAACTTCATCTTGATACGCAAGTAAGTGGATCTTTAGGGTGCTCTTATATTGGATTCGTGTTCAAGTCCTGCCTATGCTCTCAATCAAAGTCTTGATTTTGTTCGTGATTTGATTGGTTCCGCTGATTTATCTGAATATCAATGTCGTGATGGTAGTTCTCCGAAGAGTCGACAAATGCCACGTAAAAATATTGCTGCGGTTGTTGGTGGCAGTTATAGTTCCGTTACTGTCCAGGTAGTGCCGATATTGTGTAATGATAATGATAAATAACTTCTTATCATACATTTGTTTTAATCAGTAATTGACATGAGCACATATCAAATAAATAATTTAAGGACTTAAACATTTCGAAAATTAAGAAATTTTTGTTCATGAAAAAATATGCTAAGGACGTTAAGTCTTTAAGAAATTTTCCGTTCGGCGTCGCAGTGATATAAAGTTGCAAAGAAATATCTAATTGTAAGTTGAAAATTTGTTTACCTTATCTTTTAGATAGCTAACCTCTTGAGGTTATTCAAGATAGTTCAAGTCAGCCCAGCCAGTACTAATGCAGACCTCAGTGACAAAGCACGTTTTGAATACTTTGCCAGGTAAGGCCTTTCCCACTACAATTCGATTTATAATTGTGACACCTTGTACTTATAGCAAAATATCAGAACATTCCTCGTTGCTTTTGTGATTTAATTTTTACTCTTAATCTACGTTTTCTCAAATAGATTTAAGAAATCAATTGATTAGTTTTTGAGGACCGTGCCCAGTGATAATTATCAAGCACGTGCAATGATTGATATTGCATTGCACTTCAACTGGACCTACGTATCACTGGTGTATTCAGCTGATGAATATGGTGAACTTGGTGCTGAAGCTTTTAAGAAAGAAGCACGCAAAATGAACATTTGCATTGCTATCGAAGAGCGCATATCACCCAAAAAAGAGGCGTTTCAAGAATCTGTTGATAATCTCGTTAAAAAGTAATTCTCCAAATAAGGGTTTGGGATTTCAAAAAATTTCTGTTTTTTTAGAGCTTTATTTTGCAACTTAAGTTCTCGAAGAAAATTAATGACACAGGGTGCATCTAATCTCACCACGTCCACCTGATTCTTTATTATGACTAATGTGACTGATTTCAATATTTGAACTTCATGGTTATGGTAATCAGTAAGGAGATATCTAAAAATGCAAATATTCATGACATATTGTTTCAATTATTCTAAATTGCTAAATTTTTTTAAAAAAAAAACTATTTATAAAATTGTTGAAAAATTGACATTCAAAATTGTGACGACATAATTCATTTTCGAAGTCATTAGAACAACAAGTTCCTTACAAAAAAGTACATATTGCATTCATCAACAATGGACATTGTTGATTCATGTAATCTTTATATGTTTTTATAACCAATGTCATCATTTTATAGACTGCAACCGGATAAGGCCGTTGGTGCACGTGCTGTTGTGCTGTTTGTTGCCACGGAGTATGTACCGGAACTGATGTTACAAACATTCGAACGCATGCGTTTCGAGCGATTACCACGCCGTAAAGATATTATTTGGTCAATTTTATTTTAAAAATTTACTGTTTTACTCAATTATTTTTTAATTGTAGTTTGAGACAAAGAATTGGAACTTTATGAATAAATCATGACCAAATTTCATATAAATTTATAAATACGAAGCTCTCAATTAAGGAATTATGCTAAGGGTATTTTTGTTTTCTATTTATATTAAAAAGCAGCACTGAGGGAATTTTGTTAAATATGTCCCTCAAATTTCAAGATAACGTTAACCGATGTCAACTTAAAGGCTTGCAAGTGAAGGTTGGGATCGAAACAATGAAGCATACACAGCAGGTCCAAGGAAATCAGTAGCAGAAGGTGCTATTGTTTTGATGTTAGCATCAGATCGTGTCCCTTCATTTGAAGAGGTGAACTTTTTTTCTCATTTGTTGTATAAAAGATGTTTGCAGAAGTTTACTTCACAAAAAATGTGTCTGGTCGTTGATTACTTTAGTTGTACTAAGCAATAATTACAGAGTTATTCTAATTCGTTTCTTGCAGTATTTTTTATCGTTGAATCCAAGCCATAACAAATTTGAACGAAATAAATGGTTGAGAGAACTATGGCGTCATAAATTCAATTGTGAATTTGATTTACCTGAACAGAGTACATTGAATAAGTAAGGTTCTTATGTATTGAATGAAAACTATTTTCTTTTGTCTCTCGTCTTTACATTTTTCAAAACCATTTATCTTTCTTAGATGTGAAAACCATTATCAGACTATGGAAAACTTCAATCCAGATGATAAGGTTCAATTCGTTATTGATGCTGTGTATGCCATTGCTCATGGATTACAGGTTTTCCTTTGCAATATTATGTTAGTATGAACAAAGTAATTGGATTACTTTTCTACCAGAAGCCGATTTGATTGTGCGTCATTTCGAATTAGACTAGAAGAAGCAAAGTGTTCATAATATTCCAAAACTTGAAAGTTTCAGTTTAAATTCATTTTTTTTTCAACTCGAATTGAAATACTCTTTGATAGGGCATGCAAGAGAAAGTATGTCCTGACGATACTGCATCATCATCGTGGATATCAAGATATTCAAGTGTACCACAAATTTGTGATGCGATGAAACACATTGATGGCGAAGAATTTTATCAAAAATACTTGTTACAAGTGAAATTTGAAGGTAATATATTGAGAAGTTATAGTCGTTTGCTATTTCTGGAATTTCAACGAAAATATCAAACTAAGAAAAAGTATTACTAAGTTTTTTACCAATCAAAAAACCCTGATGATCTTCTATTGTTTAAATAAGCTATGACCTTTTTGGGCACCAAATTTTGATGAAAACTAGTAGTGTTTTCTGAAACATATATTATTTGTAAATATTTTAGATGCAGTGGGAAAAAAATTCCGATTCAGTCCAGAAGGCGATGGACCAGCACATTATACAATTTTAAATTATCAGCCAGAAATTGGTCATAGCAGGTGGAATTACCTAATTACCTGAAGATATCAAAAATCTAAATTTTTGGAGGATTGATTTAAACACAGTTACTTTAGATCCGAAGATTCCAGTCGAAGTGACTATGTCGTTGTTGGACGTTGGTCAGAAGACCAGGTTTTTATGTTTCTTAATAATTTTGTTTCACATATTCTTTTTCAAAATTTTCCTATGTTGATGTTCTGGAACATCGGACAAGAAAATGATTTGAAAACTGTTTGACTTACGTGTTTTAAATTCATGTTTAAATATTTTCGAAAGAAGAGCATAAAACAGGTCTAGGATTTCCTTTCTTATCAGTGTGGGATATTTAGTTTATTAAGACTAGAAAACAAAAGACTATAGAAAGTGCGAATGATATTATGTAGTGATTTGTGTGCTTATTATGTGATTTGGGAAAATGGATTTCAATTACGGAACTATTGCGCTTCAATCAATACAATATAAACTTGATATGTACAGAACATTTTGGAAAAAAGTTTTGATCATTTGCAAAAAGGCGCACTGTCTATAAAACAGAATTATATTCAATATCGCTAGAACTATAAAAGGAAATGTCAAACGAAGCAAACTTTCGCAATTGCTGTAGAAAAATTATGCAAGGAACAGCAGGCAAAAATTCTTACAGGATAATTTTGCAGTTAGACATAGATGATGAAAAGATGTCCTGGAAATATGGAGAAATACCAATATCACAATGCAGTATGCCATGTCCAGTCGGCTATCGCAAGCAGCTTATTAAGATTAGTCTACATATGCACCTACTAAGTGTTGCAACAGATTTATTCTGCATAATTCGTTTTAGTGATAGACTTTCCTGTTATGCTCATGGTTAGAGATGTAGTAGTTCGAATAGGTTAATTATAATTCTCTGGCGCACATTTGACGACAAGAAAATGTGATGTAGTGGATTGTCGGATAATTTCAACAATTCTAAAGCGAAATCAAAGCTTTTTTTTTTTCAAAATTTGATCGATTTTTATTTTCAAAGTTTGATTGGTTTTAGGATGAAATTTGTTGTTGGGCTTGCAGCAAATGCGAAGATTATGAGTTTTTGCCAGATGAAACAACCTGTGTGGATTGTGGTGAAGGTTGGTGGCCGACAACTGATCGAAAAAATTGCTTCAACTTAGCACAGTCTAGCTTGAAATATATAAGATGGTCTTCCTGGTATGACACTATGTCCTAATTGCTCCTTCCACTTCAAAATATCAAAACATGCGTATTTCGTTTAGGTATTCGATAATACCTACCTTATTTGCTGTCATTGGTATTTGCTCAACAATTGCTGCGATTGTCATATATTCGAGGTTCACAATTTATAAAATTTTAAAAGGTGACTGTTGTAGGTAAGAATCTACTGTATGGGCAATAATCAGCAGCAGTTGGAAAAATTTTTCCGAACCACTACTATGTTATTTCGGAAAATTATGCAATTAATTCAGCAATACTTCCTAATGATTTCTGACCTTCAATTATATGTGGTTATTTAATATTATTGGCATGCTTATTTGAAGAAGTAGAAATAAATGTATTGTCACATGGGAGTTTGCCAGCGAACTCAGAATTGCAGCTTACTAACTATGACAGGACTATTCTTATACGTCAAAGGATAAATTATTATGATAAAATTTCCATTACTTCAAGTTAATCTTTTGAATTACAATTGACAAAATAACAATCTTTGATAAAAGTCATGATTGTACCTTTGTCCGGTGGAATACTTTAAACATGAGCAATTGAAGATAATGGTCTGCAAGTAATGAAACATTAATAAGAAATTGTTGTAAATATGAAAAAAGTCCTAATAAACAAAATTGTACTTGGTTAGTTTTAATAAAAGATCAGTTAATTTATAACCGAACAAAATAAATATGGTCAAAAACGACGAGTTTTAAAGTGATTAAAACTGAAATTGAAATTCAAAAAAACCAATTTTAATTTTACAGGAAAGCTACAAATATATACATCTGTAACCATAACTTCCTAACAGCTACTACATTTCCCATTTATGAAAAAAGCTCCCTTCAGTATTAAAAAAGTTATCTGCATTGCAGGAATCACGACACACCGGTAGTAAAAGCATCAGGACGTGAGCTTAGTTATATTATACTGCTAGCAATGATTATGTGTTATACAATGACTTTTTTACTTATTTCTAGACCGACCACTTTCAACTGTGCTATTAAAAGGACAGGTAAGTTCCTTAAAAGTTCGCATTGTGATCATCCTTGAATATTTAATTTTATTACTTCATCTCCCTTTTAGGTATTGGGTTTGCTTTTTCATGTTTATACGCAGCTCTTCTGGTCAAAACCAATCGGATAGCCCGAATCTTTTCACATCGTTCAGTGCAACGACCAATGTGCATCTCTCCTGTATCACAAGTCTTTTTGACAGCACTTCTTGCCGGTCTTCAACTTTTCGGTTCACTTATTTGGCTTTTTATTGTCCCCCCCGGTAAATTCTTGTCATTTATTTATATTTATATTCCTAATCGCAATTGAGTTTTGGGAACGAATAAGACAATGAATGTCATCAGTGATAATGTTTAGGTACGAAACATTCTTATCCAACACGAGATCAAGTTGTGCTCAAATGTAACGTTCCTGATCATCATTTCCTTTACTCGCTGGCTTATGATGCTGCATTAATTGTCTTATGTACTGTTTATGCGATCAAAACTCGAAAAGTGCCAGAGAATTTCAATGAAACACGTTTTATTGGTTTCACAATGTACACAACATGTGTTTTGTGGCTTTCCTGGATATTTTTCTTTTTCGGTACAGGAAGTGACTTTCAGGTCTGTTACGTTTAATAGATATGAATTGAAATCAAATTGCTCTGTTGAATTTTAAAACTTATAAATTGCATAGAAACTTCTCTAGAATATTTTTTGTACTTTATTGTGTACTTTAAAATAACATAAACTCCATGAAGTCGAAAACTGATTAGAATAATAAAAAAAAAGAAAAAAATGGAAGCAAAGTAACACTTATTTTTAGATACAAACGACATCATTGTGCATATCGATATCGATGTCTGCAAATGTCGCATTAGCTTGCATTTTTTTACCGAAAATATGGATTATATTATTTGAAAAGCATAAAAATGCACACAGACAAGATGGTATATTTACGAAAAGGTTTGTTTATAATTGTCATAGATTCCGACAATTGAAATAATCAGTCAAATAAGTGTTTAATGATGTTAAAGGAGAATAAAACCAATAAATGTGAGAATACTACAGTAGGAGACCCAAAGGGAAGCAAAAACAGCGCTCTATCGCCTAAGAACAGATGTTCTGATTTACCTACATCTTAATCGATAAATTTATTAAACCTGATGCTAGTGCTTTCAGAGTTCCATTAGTAAGAGCTATTGCACCGGTACTATTACTATGATCGCAAAGCTCCTAGGAGCTTTATTTGAAGGATTGAAAATATTTTAAAAAAATATTGGAAATATTTAACTATATAAAAACATGTGGATTCTGAAAACTTCTGAATCGTTGTTTCATGTTAGGAGGAATGTTCCATTTACCAGTTATCGACCGCTCTAACTCAGTGTTAATTGTAGCATCCAAAAAAATTTTATCACACACATATTGAATATTTTCAAAGCCATCATCATCCAAAAAAAAAAAGACTACAAAAGATATACATTTCTAAACGTCTTACATTTGCTTCAGATGTGGTGAACAGGTCAAGTAAAAACTAATAGTGCAATAATTGATTTGATTAAAGTTTTTCTTGGTTCGTGATTTCACTATTTGCTATATTTTTCCAATTCAAACAAAGTGAATATTGTTTCCAGGAATCGTACGACAATAAATATATTAGGGGAAGGAGTACATACACAATCTACTGCCTTGTTATCCGAGCAACAGAGGAGAAATTCACTTGGAAATTCTTATTACAGCATCTCATCTTCCGGTCACGACACATTTTTGTAAAATGAATGCCAGAAATAGTGGGCTTTTTTGTTAGAAATTATTTGATTAATGTATTTATGTTTTCAGTTGTTCGATATTTTTGTAAATCACTTCACATTGAGAATATTATTTGATGGAACAAAATTTCATTATTTGTAGAAAATACAACCCTCAATTTTACAATCATTTTCCGATAGAAGAAAAAACTTATAAGTCTCAAATAAATTTTGAAATGTGTCCAATATAAGTGATATTTTAAAGTGATAAAAAACTGTCTGTATGTTTGTTATTAACGATGATATATGTAGATATTAAATTGATTTAAAATGTAGTATGACATCATCTTGTTGAAGGAAAAGCAAAACATGAATATTTGGATGAATTTGTATGATGGTATAACTAGATTTTGGGGTCTTCTGGGATTCCATATACAGAATTTTAAATTTATTCGATGGTTATACGATATTTGGACTAAAATGCTATCTTGTCTCATGTTTTTTCTTGTCCTCTCCCTATATTTTAATCAGGACGAGAAAAAGAAAGTTATACATTCGGTTGAAAAGTCATAAAATTTCTAAATCATACAAAATTGGCAGCACCACGACATTTTTGGTAATGTAGATGTCCGTAATGTCAGGCCATCCGGTAAGATTAGTGAATTCGTTAACAGTCTCTGCCTGTTGCTTAGTCTGAATCCAAAATTAGTTCTGGACACATTAGGTGCTAAAGATCTCCATTAATTTGATGGCGTTTTATGAATATCTTTACTGAATGTACCGGATTTTCGACAATAAGCATTTGGCATCACATCGCTGAACTTCCTTCATTTTCAGTATGCTTACTTTCTAATAATGCGCAAAACCTTTCCTAACAGATGTTGAGTTTGAATAGATATTATTAAAAATCTCGTCCACAACAACTTCCTTCTTCATCCTCCTTTTGGGTATCTAAAAAAATAACACTGATTAAGCAAAACTACAGAAATTTGCTATATTAATAATTAAAGAAAGCATCAAAATTTTAAGAGAACTATGTTACGATGTTGAGGACGTAAAATGATTATTTATCCAGTCCATTTAAACAGCAAAATTCCCTACTTAAATAGTTAATAAAAAATAATCAAATATCAAAGAAGTGGAGGACAATTTATGAATGATACAGTCGTAGAATGAAAAATGAAAAAGTTAATTATGCTAGTTCCAAATTTATATTACAGATGAACATTAACAAGTTTATCATAATACTTTTGATGTGTAGGTGACAGTGACAACAATCTTTTTGTATAACATATTGTTCGTATAAAAAGAAGTTTGTGTCATGCCTTTCGTGATGGAAGTATTAAGATTTAGCTTGTCTATTGCATTCACATTTTTTTATTCCACCCATCAGCACAGATTAGAAATTTTACTGCAGTGAAGACTCAGTCTGAGCTAACTTCATTAAATGCCAGGTGAAACCAGCAATTTTTTTTTTTGTTGAATGTTCTGTTCGTCTACATTAGCTTGAAAGAAACTGAAAAAATTATGTCAACATAGGGTACAGAAAAGAATTACGTATCATAATGCAAATCGAAACCTACAGAATGAAATTATATCATTGTTTTAAAACAATGGCTGGTACACTAACCATATTGTTGGAAAAGATATTGTATAAGAAAATCTCATGAATATATGAACAAAATTAAATTTCTTGCCCAAATTAAAAAAAAAATGCAATAACTGATAATATGAAGAAGCAAGAAGCTCTAAGAAAAGTAATAGTGCTAAATATTCCCGAAATATTAGCAGCGGAAAAATAAGTTAGGCATTAACCATTTCAGAGGTAGGAAATGCATTAAACAGATTTTTACAGTTGTTCTCATTAGTTTATAGAAAAATTGCTTTCATTTAAGAAATTTAAACACTGGACCAAGCAGACAAATCCCTGAAAAAAAAAAAAAAAAAAAAAAAAAAAAACGAACAATAATATCAAGAGCAAATTTTGCAAGTATTGAATAAAAATCTGAGCCAGCTATATGCAAATCATTTTGAAACAAGATACCTTTCAGTAATCAAATCAGAAATTTTATTACGAAGTGATATTTTTCACTTAAAATAATAGAAAGAGACGGGGAAGCGCCAATCGTAATAACCTTTTATTTATACTTCACTCAAAAACTAGAAAAATCTGTATAACTTCCAAAAATGCGTTTTTGAAAACCTTTCAATTTTGTGAAAATTCGAGCAGCATTTGTCATTTAAGTTGAATGCACGCTCTATTTAAGTCTGAATTTTTTATGTCAAGTTTCAAGAGCATTCACGTTGCAGAGTAAATGCAATGAAGTGCCGGAAATTATTTTAGCTTCACTTTTGCATCGATGTGTTTTTGATTACTCACGGTGACAAACCAAATAATTTTCTGGAAATCATGAATACCATAA